ATATTTATTAATATTATATTTTTCTTTTTCAGCCATCTGAAGCTGAAGATAGAAGATAAATAATGTAATACATTTTTATGAGTTATATATAAAAATAAAAATGAATGTGAAAAACAAACTGTGTAATAATAATTAATTTCAAGAATCTTTATTGCAATATTACTGAAACGGATTTTTCATATATTTGGTAAAAAAAAATAAGCTAGTAATTTATTTTCAAAGCTTCCTGCTCAAATCATAGTTAAACATTCTTTATTTGGAATTGCTTTCAAGTATGTGTACATTACTGTATGTATCAAGGAATGTCTAAAGTCTAATGATGTTCATACCTCTCATGAATATACATGCATCAGTGCATGTACATAAAATATGGAATAAATTCATTATTTTGGAATATGAAAAAAAAATTGGAGAAACGTCTTAGACAGGCTTTTAATTTGAATTTTGCATCTTGTGGCTTTTGCAAAAGATTTGAAATTGAAAACTGAAATTGAAATTAAAAATCCGCTGGTCTAAAAAATTTCCAGAATTATTTTCTTATTCCAAAATAATGAATTAATTTCATATTTTATGAATCTACAAACAGTATAATACCTAGGCTATGTTATACAAAATAATTTTGATATTTACATGGACACTCTAGAAATGTGAAATAGTGTCATGTATACGTACATGGTATATTATATAAGCATACTTTTGATATGCATGCACATTCTGGGAATGAGAAAGTGTATCCATTGAAGGGACAACTGTATGTACACGGTACATACATATAACGTACATAACTATTTTTATGTATGTACCTATAATATCCATTATCCATTAATGTACATGTATATAATATTTATGGTATCTGTTATCTGGGAGCTACTGCTGGAAGATCGCAATCGGATATAATATCAACTTTCAATATATTCTTATTAATGCACAGGGATGCAAAAGAAGTTACCATTTGGATGGATAATTGTGCGGTCCAAAATAAAAATTCGGCTCTTTCTTGTTTTTTCATTCACTTCATTATAACTGAAAACACTGTTATAAATTGCATGAAACTGAAATACATATCTACAAACAGGTCATACATTTATGAGTGCTGACTCATTTCATCATCAAGTGGAAAAGTCATTAACACCAAAAAGCAAAGTTTTAGATTTTGTCGACTACAAAAATTGTATTCAAACATCAAATAGTGGAAAAACAACCTGTATTGAAATGAATGTTAATGACTTTTTAGACGTTAAAGGCTGTTCATCCAGATTTAAACTGAATAAAACAGTCAAAACCATTTTTATCGAACTTTTGTGAAATAAATTTCGTCTGAGGTTCCAAGAAACTATTTTACGATTCAAAATTTAAGAAGAGTCAATTGAATTATGTTTTTTGACGACAAAATCTTTAAAGAAGGTGTGGCTCAGCCAAAAATCAGAACCTTCCCAAGAAAAATAAGTGTAGTTCGAAAAAGTAATTTAATTAAAAAACTACAAGAAATGTCTATGCCGAAAAATAGGCTAAAGTTTTGGGAAGAGTTGCCTGAAACCGCAGAAGAAACCACCTCAATCAGTGTTTATTTAAAATATTTTAATAAAAAAATTTCTGTACTAATTTATCCAGTTTAATTTTCAAAATCAATATGTCCTAAGTGGTAGCACCCTCCAGGCAATGGAGAGGGTGGTGTCATTCGGCAAAGACACCACAGAAAAGTACTGCCTAATGATTACTCCCGACATTCGAAACGCTTTTAATTCAGCACTGTGGGGCAAGATCATGGACAAACTTATTGCTCGGGGTATCTCGTCATCGCTTATGAATCTTATAGGCTCCTATCTCAGCGATAGAGAAGTAGTCCTGGGTTCTATACATAAAAAAATGTCTGCAGGAGTTCCACAGGGTTCAGTCCTGGGACTCTTATTGTGAAACAATCTATATGATGATATCTTTAAAGTTCCCGTGCTTGAGGGCCAAATATTGATTGTATTGGCCGACGATATTGCCCTTGTTACTAGAGCAAAAAACTTAATAATATTGGACGAAAGAGTAAACGGATCTCTACAAAATTTGGATTCCTGGTTAAAAAAACACCGTCTTGACTTCGCGCCGGAGAATACAGAAGCGGTATTCTTAAAATGTCCCAAGAATGTCCCTTCGGAAACGAATGTGTTCATTAGATAGTCACGCATAGTTCCGAGAAAAGGCTTAAATATTTAGGGGTGTATATTGATTGGTAGGGAACTTTTGCTGCTCATGTGAAAATAAATATGCTTGCAAAAAAGCAGACGACAGAATAGCTGCTTTATCCCGACTACTTTCAAATACGAGAGGTCTTAGCGAACTGAAACGGAGACTTGACAAGGGTCGTTCACTCTATTCTGCTTTATGAAGCACCTATTTGGTCAGGAGTATTAAGAATTGATAAATATAAAAACCTCCTCATTGGTACCCACAGGAAAATCTTACTCAGAACGATTAGTGCATACCGAACCATTTCAGCTTCGGTAGCCCAAGTAATAGCGGGTACTCCCCCGATTACCCTGCTAATCCACAAGCGAAAAAGGTTATATCATCGCGTGGATGGTAATGTCGAAAACGCTAGGTAGCTAAAAAAAGAAGAAACATTGAGAAGATGGCAGCAAAATTGGTTAGAAAACAGAGATAAGGGTCAGTGGACGAAAAAACTAATTCCCGATGTCGTTAAGTGGACAAAGTGTGGACATGGGAGAGTAGATTACTTTCTAATCCGAATGTTTTCGGAGCACGGATGCTTCGGCTCCTATTTGCATCGAATAGGCAAAAAGGAAAATGACACTTGTTTCTATTGTGAGGAGCCAGATAACCGGAACACACACTTTTTCAGTGTACTAGATGGGATGAGCTAGATTGGGTCACCAATTAAGACTGGAAAACATGACAAAATTAATGATAAACTACGTAAGTAACTGGAATCACATCCACGATATATCTGCGGTATTGAAAGAAAAACTGAAAGGATTATAAGTTAGTTTGGTGTATGCCAGAAATGGTGATTCCAGAAAAGAACTCTGGGAGCAGGGGAGGGTTTTATCTGGTAGGAGTCCGGCACAAAAAAAAAGTTGAGAACTATCAGCGCGTAGACTCCACGAGCGAGTGGATGGGAACACAGAGGGAATAAAAATGGCTGAAAGAGAAATAACACTGCAAAGATGGCAGGAAGAATGGACAGTAAACTCGGATAAGGGTCAGTGGACTAAGAAATTAATTCCAGATGTTATAAAATGGACTAAGTGCAAGCATAGAAAAACAGCTTTCTACCTAATTCAGGCACTTTCTGAGCATGGAAGTTTTAGTGCTTATTTGTTTAAAATTGGAAAAGAAAACGATACATGCATATACTGTGAAGGAATTGACTCACCAGAAAACACATTATTTCAGTGCGCAAGATGGCACGAGCACAGAAGCAACTGTGAAATAATATGAGGACAATTGACAACAGGAAACATGATTAACATGATGATAGACTCGGAGAAGAACTGGAATAATATTCATAATATGATCTCAGAGATAATGACGACTAAATACCGAGATGAAAGCAGTGCCGGTTTTACATGGGTGCTATTGGGTGCTGTAGAACCGGGCGATAAATTGTCTAGGGCGGCGAGCGGAATAAAAATATTTTTAACAATAGGATACCTGCGGTTACCCTACTGTTAAGAACAATTTTATTACAGTTCGCCGCTCACCGCCCGCCGCTTACCGCGGCCCAATGTAAACGCGAGCTTAGACCTAGAAGGCCAAACACAAAATATACTTGTGTGCTACGAGAAAATATGGATATAAGTACCACATCCAATATTTTATCTTCATTGGCTCAGTACCTACTTTCAATATTTACGGAACGAGTTTGATCAATATGAAGCCAAAGGAATAGCTTTAACAGGCAACGAAAGCTACATGGAACGACGAAGCACTAAAAGAAAGAGGCATTTAGGGGAGCCAAATACAGAAACCGGATTAGTTAGGGAGACGCTGGAGGGGAGCAAAGGGCATCTCAAAAAAAATCAGAATCTCTGGTCAGCATATTTTCTTAGTGGGATACTTTGACGACAATGGCAATGGACTCGTTTTCTTTTCCAGAAATATGGAAGACAAACGAAAAGAAAACGAGTTTACGGTGCAAGGGGCGGATCCCTTAGTGCCGTTGGGGAAGGGGGATATAGAATAGAATATAGAATGAACTTAAAAATGATAATGAGGGAAAAAGCGAGTTGTTGGAAAAGGCTTTTAGAAGAGCTATAGATGAAGATATCTGGGGAGAGCGGTTCGCAATAATTATGAAGACCTCTCTCCAGATTAAAGGCGGGTTGACACTGGTAGTGAACCACGAACGTGGCTCACGCTTTCGTAGTTCACGCTTGTTTCACTACTAGTGTAAACAGATTTTCGTGGCCCACGACTGTTTCACGACCTGTTCACGCCACGCCACGACTGATATTAAACGTGTTTAATATTTCACGCTTCCTTTAATATTAAATTAGTTAAAATTGCATTGTCACTGCAGATAGTTTGTTTGTTGGTAGCTCGTAACTCCAAAAATGAGTGTCCCAAATGTATCTATTTTGAAAATGAACGATCGCGACACAATTACATTTGTGGAATTGTATGAAAATGAGCCTTCATTATGGAATCCTACAGATTCCAAATATCACAACAAGGATGCAAGAAATGCTGCTGCCGAAAGAATTGCTGCTCAGCTTAACATTGAAAACTTTACTGCAAAACATGTATTTGTGAAATTTAAAAACTTGCGTAGTTCGTACCTACAAGAAGTTAAAAAAATTAATGAAAGCTATAAATCTGATTGCTCTACCGACGTTTATATTCCAAAAGTTGTGTGGTTTATGACAATGGATAGGTTCCTAAAGCCACACGTAAAATCAAGAAAAACTCATTCGAATTTGGTAAATATATTTATTGTTTTAAAAATTCATTTTAATAACAGAATAGAGTGGAGTATAATGTTCATTTATTTCCTTTAATCTATAATCCGCCATTGCCATGGAACAGCACTTTCACCATTAAAATATTTACAGTAATTATCTCGTTTTTGTGATGCAACTCTGGTAGAATTTCTATCACCTGTTAATAGCTGAATATTTACAAGACCATCACTTTTACAATCTCTCCATGATCCCGGCTGGCTTATATGATTCATATCTTCATAATCAATAAGACCAAATGGTACATAGGTAGTGCCTGTTTTGCGCAACCAGTTATGTAAGGCACAACATGATGGTACCACTTTATCAACTTTTTCAGGACTTAACGGAATTGGTTTTTCAAATACGCGAAATTTGCTTACTAAAATACCAAAGGCGTTTTCAGATGTACGTCGAGCTCGAGACAGTCTATAGTTGAAAATTTTTTCTTCGCGTGTTAGTTGTCTCCTGCTGTAAGGTTTCAAAAGAAAAGTCTTCAATGGAAATGCATCATCGCCGACTATTATTCCGTTTAAAGGAATATTCAGATCCCGGGTCTCAATAGTATGCCGCAAAGAACAATGTTGCCAAACCCCGCCATCTGAAGCTCTTCCTTTTGCACCAACATCGATATATGTAAAACAGTAATCACGGTCCACCAGCGCTAGTAAAATAATACTGTTATCCTTTTTATAGTTGAAATAGTCAGAGCCGCTGTTTTGTGGTGCTTTGATAACTATATGTTTACCATCTATCGCCCCTATACAGTTGGGAAAGTTCCATTTAGTGCAAAACCCGTTTACTATTTGTTGCCACTTTTCGATTGTGTTAGGGACCTAAAAAAAACAAACAAAAAACAATTACAAATATATCTATTCGTATTTTAATTAATTGATGTAAGTGTATTTTTGATTTACAGAATGATACGCAGTCACAGGACACACTGGACATACAAGATACTCAGAAAACACAGAATACACAGGACACGCAAGACGATATACAAATTGTAGACACTCAAGATACTCAAACCCAAGGCATTCCCCAAGACATGCCCCAAGACATGCTGGCATCCACTTCAGCACATGATGACATCATGGTGCTTTCGTCTAGAAATATCACGTCACAAACGTTGGAATCTGAAACCCAGGTGAATAAAGGGAAAAAAGCGACAACCTCCGAACAAGTTGACAAATGACAATAATAAAACAAAAAAATCTAAAGCAACTCCAAACAACGTTACACCATCAACTAACGCAAACATCGATAAGGCTTTAGAAAAACTTGATGAAATATCAAGTAGAGCCCACGCAAGTTTGGCAAACCAAAATCTTGAAGACCATTTGGATCATTTTGGAAAATATATTGTGTCGATGCTAAGAAACGTTTCTCCCCGGAAAAGTCTTTCCTTGCAAAAAGACATAATTTCTCTTTTGTTTGAAGCACAAATGCCGTCACCATCACTATCAATGGCATCTACTACAGAGGATTATAGCTGCTCAGATTACCCAGGAAGGCCACCTTCATCAGATACGAATGCATCTACATCTTTTACGCCTGCTAGCCCTCTATCCAGCTGTTCACGGTCTATGGAAGATTTTGACTATTTACTAACAAGGCTTTAATATGTTTTAAAGAGTTTTCCCAACTTTCCAATTAGAATAAGTATTTAGTTTAATACACACGTGTTAATCATTTCATTACACTTTAATATATCTGTTACATTACATACAATTTTTTTAGTTATTTAATATATTACGCAGTTCGTTACTGATGAAACTAATAGATTTTGTGACTTACCTCTATCCATTCTTGCAGACAGATATATATGTTATCCAAGACGTCTGGCAAAAATTTACTTATTGTGCTTTTTGGAACTTTAAACAAAAATTCCAGGCTTTTGAAGATGTCGCCGGTAACCAAATAGCGAAGAGTTATTTCAAGTTTCGTTTGGGCAGGAATAGCTTCTCTTAGATGGGTGTCGGATTTTTGTATGCGATTAGATATACGTTCCAAGAGATAATTAAAATGGTCCTCGGACATCCGTAATAAATTTTTAAAATCTTCTGAATATGTTAAACAAAGTTCATTTTGAATTAATGCCGAGGTTCCAGTAATATGTCTATTAAAAATCCACTGCCTAGTCCACCATCTCCTCTTCTTTCTTGTTTTCGTTCTTTTATTTCTCAACATACAATTTTTTATAATTTCGGCGGCTATTATTTCGCACGTTGCGACTGTAGCTTCCAGCACAAATGAAGCCATTTGCACGACTGAACAGAAAATTCCTGTGGCCAGTGTAAACACTACACGATGCCTTCACGAAACGATCGCAAGCAAGCGTATTTCACGAATTATTGTAAGCGTGAGCCACGTTCGTGGTTCACTACCAGTGTCAACTCCGCTTAAGACAGTTAGTAGAGTAGATCTCACGGAAGAAAAAAGGTTCCGTATAGCTTGTACTTTATTTCCCGAAAGTGATGAGATCGAGTGGCGGCCGAGGGATTAGAGGACCGAGGATCATATAAGCGAAGAAGAAATTAAACTAGCTGCTGGTAAATTGAAAGGTAGGAAAGCTCCGGGTCTAGACGCTATCCCCCAAAGGTTATAAAAGTGATAGTGAACGAACAGACAGGGAATAAGATCCTTATTAAATAAGTTTGATAGGGACGGGGTTTTTCCAGATACAATGAAGACGGCTGAACTTGTGTTGATCCGCAAACCGAGGAAGAGAGGTGAGGACGCATGTGACTACCGGCCGATATGTCTTTTGAACACACCTAGCGAAACTTTATGGAGGAGTAATCGTGCAGAAATTAAAAGGCAGATGCGGTGGTTTGAGCGATAGGCAATTTGGTTTCCGTGAGGGAAGTCTACCTTGGGGGCCCTGGAAATAGTGATGGAATCGGTAGCGAGAATAAATCGTAACCGCAAATGGGGTGCGCTGATCCTGTCCGAAATGCCTTTAATATGGCATCATGCATCACATTTTGATGGCATTGCGAACTATGGGGATAGATGGGCACCTGTTAATAGTAATTTCCAGCTACTTGTACAGGGGGGTAATGGTTTATAAAGGCGAAGCACTGTCGGTACATGTGGGGGTACCACAGGGGTCCGTTCTGGGTTCAACTTTATGGGATATTTTTTATGATGGTGCTCTGAGTGTTTCGGTGGCGTACGCGGACGACCTTGCGGCGGTGGTTGAGGGAAACACGAAGGCAGATCTAACGCTGAGGAGAATCAAAGAATAGATGACACAACACAGTTTGCAAATGGTTCCGCAGAAAACCGAAGCTGTTATGCTAACGGGAATGAGAAGATCAGCATATGTCGTTTTTCGAGGATAATGAAGACAAACAAATTTAATATGCTAATCGATGAATCAACACTGACATTGCTGCTTCAAAATCGGTATGATATGGTATAATGAGGTATTCCAACGAGCATCTCGGGAAAATCGTGACGTCTTTATGGGAGTTAACTTCACTATTTGAAGAAAAGAGCGACACAGCAAGTCAAGGGACTGTTGAATATTTATTTACCCAAATAATGGACACATTTTACAACTATGAAATACCGCCAGATAATATGATTGGATTTGGATCAGATGGTGTAACATGATGATGGGAGAATACAGCTCAGTTTCTTCGAGATTTAGAGAACTATGTTCAGGCATTTTCTTTTTTAAATTTGTTTGTCCACTTATGCAGCAGCCAAGCCTGTAAGAGTAAAAGTGTGCCAAGGGCGAATGAAGATCTTGCTAGAAATATTTACGCTTTCTTTAGGAGCAAACGGCAGTCCGAGTTCAGGGAATTCCAGATATTTGTCGAGGTTGATGTACATAAAATTTTGCATTCCTCGCAAACCAGATGGCTTTCGGTTGCACCAGTGGTAAAAAGAATATTGGAACAATGGTCAGTTTTACAACTATTCTTTACTTCTGAATATCTGGATCAACGTCTACTAGCTGTTGCGCGAATACAGCAGGTGTATTACATGATCCGTTTACAAAATTGTATTTTATGTTTCTAAATAATGTATTGCCAAAAATTACTACGTTAAACTTATATTCCCAATCAGAAAATGTAGCGATTTTTAAAATGGATGTTGTTATAAGATTATTATTATTTCTTCAATTCAAGTCCCACGTCAGGCGATTCAAGATCCCGACCACCTAGGGTAAAGCGGAGCAACCTTTAAATTAAATACTTGACAAGATTATATTTTATTATTTATTTATTTATTTCTCATTAATTTTATATTCAATTTATCTAGATGGTTGTACCCGATAAGAGCATTACAGTACCTATTTCTTATGCGTTGGTTGCAAAAAAAAGTTTATTCTGATGCAAAATAAGTCGATCTCAATGTTGATCAAAATAGTGATACTGATACCGAGGACAATGTGGATAATGATAATAACGATGGAGAAGGCAACTTAAATGACCAGTCATGTACGTTTTCTTTGGAAAATGCAAACCAACGAACTGACTTACTACAGTCTTTTGGTAACAAAACCAATTATTTACTGGCTGATGTACTGAGCTTTCATTTATTTCNCATTTTACAACTATGAAATACCGCCAGATAATATGATTGGATTTGGATAAGATGGTGCAACATGATGATGGGAGAATACAGCTCAGTTTCTTCGAAATTTAGAGAACTATGTTCAGGCATTTTCTTTTTTAAATTTGTTTGTCCACTTATGCAGCAGCCAAGCCTGTAAGAGTACAAGTGTGCCAAGGGCGAATGAAGATCTTGCTAGAAATATTTACGCTTTCTTTAAGGTATATTTTTTCACAATGTTTCACCTATTTTTTTATACAGTCTAGGAGCAAACGGCGGTCCGAGTTCAGAGAATTCCAGATATTTGTCGAGGTTGATGTACATAAAATTTTGCATCCCTCGCAAACCAGATGGCTTTCGGTTGCACCAGTGGTAAAAAGAATATTGGAACGATGGTCAGTTTTACAACTATTCTTTACTTCTGAACATCTGGATTAACGTCTACTAGCTGTTGCGCGAATACAGCAGGTATATTACATGATCCGTTTACAAAATTGTATTTTATGTTTCTAAATAATGTATTGCCAAAAATTACTAAGTTAAACTTATATTCCCAATCAGAAAATGTAGCGATTTTTAAAATGGATGTTGTTATAAGATTATTATTATTTCTTCAATTCAAGTCCCACGTCAGGCGATTCAAGATCCCGACCACCTAGGGTAAAGCGGAGCAACCTTTAAATTAAATACTTGACAAGATTATATTTTATTATTTATTTATTTATTTCTCATTAATTTTATATTCAATTTATCTAGATGGGTGTACCCGATAAGAGCATTACGGTTTGTAAAATAAATTAGCTGTTATAACATTTATTTTCTTGTCTCCCCTATCACACTTACTGGCAGGCTTTGACGTTTTTTATGTCTACTATAAGTACGAAAAGAACTATAATGCCCCTATTAATTCCGAAACAAAAAATTAAGCGTCATCTCTAACAATAAAATTGCGTTACATGAGAATCTTTTCTCTATTCCATGATAACAGTTTTATTACAATGTTCCTTTAGTAAACAGTGTTTTTACTTTAGTTATCAATTGTTTAGTGTTTATTGTGCTAAGAAGTTATATCACCAATCGATTGTTATACTGACAATTTATAACAAGGAGACGATATGGCGACCAATCCACGACTTGATCGATGTTCTAATCCTTTTAACCTAACAAATCATTTAAAGACAAAGAATTTACGAAAAGCAAATGCATTTATTCAAGAACAATTGAGCATGTACAGTACCTATTTCTTATGCATTGATTGCAAAAAAAAGTTTATTCTGATGCAAAATAAGTCGATCTCAATGTTGATCAAAATAGTGACACCTACTGATACCGAGGACAATGTGGATAATGATAATAACGATGGAGAAGACAACTTAAATGACCAGTCATGTACGTTTTCTTTGGAAAATGCAAACCAACGAACTGACTTACTACAGTCTTTTGGTAACAAAACCAATTATTTACTGGCTGATGTACTAAGCTTTCATTTATTTCTTTAAGATTGAAAATTTATTTTTTATTTCAGTCTGTCATTTTGTAGTGAAAATTTTCTCAACCATCTCAACCAAGTTCTTCATCCGAAGTCAGCATTAATACTCAGTTGCCAGTGATAAATAATGTTTTGAATCTCCTACGTGAATCACCAATTCCGTCAAAAAAATTGCTCGGTAGCTGTTATTTAGAACGCAGTCACCAAATCTTTTAATCTCAAAACACTTTTCCGTCTTGATTTTCAAAATAACAACTTTTTCTTTTTCTTTGTTTTTTTGGATGTAGTTTTCGAAAAAAAATACAAAAGAATTATTCAAAACAAATCTATTTTTTTCTTAACTTTAAAAAAAAAAAATTTTTTTCTCGTTTAGCACTCAATTATTTTTTTCATATATATTTTTTTCAATTTTGGAATTCTATATACGTTTTCAAAAATTTTCAAAATAGTTCTGTGAAATAAACTAAATTTGAAAAATTTTTTTTTTTCAAACAATAAAAAAATAGAAAAGAAAAAACACCACTGAAAAAATTTTGAGGATTTATAAAAATGTCCAAAATTTCAAAAATGATAAATCCAGAAATTTTCATGTTTTTTCGAAAGTTGAAAAAAAAGTGAAGATAGGTCCGGATAATTTTGATCTTTTTTCAAAGAATACATTTAAAAACAAAAATTTGGAAAAAAACGTCCCGATAACTCAATTTTTAAAAAAGTTATGGTTATTTTAAAAAAAGCTATTTGTTTAAAAAATTCATAACTTATTTTGAGTTGGGTGAAAAAATTTGCAACTACACTTTATTATTATAGTTTCATTAAAAATGTTAAGATAATTTTAAAATTTTATGTAAAAAGTCGTCTAGTAATCCCTACTAATTTTTTAAATTTAAAAGGAAACAAGAAAAAGGATCTCAAGGTCAAGTCAGTTGCTGAAAAAACTTTGTGTGTATTACATTTGCTATAAATAGCTTTTTTACACAATTAAAAGAAACAGTATTGGAAATATTTTCATATCCACGATGCTCCTGTTTTGAG